AGTTAGATTTTTGATTTTAATGACAATAAGAACCACCCTAGAATTCATTATCATAAAAATGAGGGCCTAACTATAAGTAACAACTTTGTAGAAGAGACTTTTAGTCTAAAGTTTCAATTTCAGGCTCAAAACATTTCATTCCACCTAAATATGCATTCTGGACCACTGTGCATTGATTGATTGCTGTGAAAATAGGGATATTGATTTACGTTTGAATGCAGATGTTACGTTGCGTAATCTGTTTTTGGAAGCTAGCAGTTAGCATTTTGGGTATGTTCTGCTCATAGCTCTGGAATCGGTGATCTGTTGTATTTGGTGCCATGTTTGTCAAAATTGATAAAAATAGAGCCGAGAAACCACTCACCGCACTAGGCTCAAAACGAAACCTGTACCCTTCTGTAGCAAGGGTGAGGAATGCTAAATTGGAAATAATCGATCAAATAATTTGCTGTTTGGTAGTTGCGTAAACTGCTGAAGGCCGTTCAGTACATGTGTTCAAATGCTAAGCAGAATGAAACGTTATGATTAAAATCATTCGCTCTTGTTGCGAGACGATCCATCACTACTTTTGTGTGATCATGTCCTTCTTGGATTTTTTGTATCAACTGAAACATAAGCCAATTTTCAGCCCGAACAGACGCTTGATCAGACCGTTGTCTCCAGTATGGCACGGTTTAAAATTGTATCTTAGCAGACTAGTTTAACGGCTAGGATAAATTTAAGGCAGGCGTAATGTTCCAGTCACGATTTAACATTAGGGTGCTTCACTCTTAAGGTGATTCCTTGTAGAGTCCACAAATGGCTGCTACGTAGGCTATACATGCACTTCCTCTTTGAATTTTCCATTACACAAATCTCGGAAATCGGTACCGCATTTAGCATTGGGCGCTAGAGGCTGGTTCATACCTTTGATCTTAGTGAATCGTTTCTTTTTTTAAAATTAATAGATTCACCGATTTAATCAATCATTTTTAATCGATTCATGTTTCAAAATAGCACAAAAATGTTTCAAATATAACCGATCATAGGAAAGCAATTTGAGCCAAGTTCAGTCTAGAGTTGATATTACGTTACATAAGCTATCTTGCTATGACATTTTACCTATAATAGTCATTTGTGATGATGATTGATATCATTTAGAAATAAATTGTGTTGTACGTATGCAATGAATGTTGTGAATGTAACATGCATCACTGCTGGTCATTAAAATAGATGTAGTCAAAATAAATGCGAAATTTTAGGTTATGTTCATTTAACTTCATTTTATTCGACTTTAAAGTTAAGCATTTGATAGTGTAATAAAAATAAAGTAATTGCACGAGAAAACTCAAAGTTAAGACATTACTCACTCATTAGAATCATACATAACATATGCGTGGTCAGTAGTCTGATGTAAAATTTTAAATTTTCGCTCCACAGTGCTTAAACGGTTCCAAATTGGGTTCTGATTAGCCTTCCAAAATTTGAACTACTTTAGTAAGAAACTGACTTGGCACAAACCATTTCAAGTTTATATGGGAAAACTTATGTTTTTGTTCATATCTATCTAACAATTCACCACATCACTATGCTTTTAAATATGATAGCAGTGATTGTAGCAAATTTGCTCAGCTACAACTTTGTTCAAAACTACTTTTCAATCAAATGTAAGGAACAAAAGTTATTAATGATTCAAGTCACTGATGTCTTATGATTATGCTCATTCAACTGTTCAGCAAGCAAGATTAGTGTTTCTGGTGCGAAGAATAGAGGATACATATCATGGCTACTATGTCACACTGCAAAATACAGTGTTGCTCACAGAACAGCTGCTTGATCATGCCACAAGATTATCAATCTTTTAAACAATTAATAACAATTTAATTTGACACTTGGCTGAAAAACGATATTCCTCAAAGTTTATCTTCTTCTTCTTCTTCATCATCTTCTTCTTCGCATTTCAAGCTTATTGCATATCGCATATTAGCTTATTGCGTGCTCTCAACTTAGTGTTCTAGGTGCACTTCCACAGTTATTAATTGAGAGCTTTCGATGCCTGTACCATTTTTGCATTTGTATAATTGTGTGGCAAGTCCAATCATACTTCTATGCCCAGGGAAGTCGAGAAATTTTCCAACCCGAAAAATTCCTAGACCGGACCGGGAATTGAACCCAGCCACCTCCAGCATGGTCTTGCTTTGTAGCTGCGGCTTTACCGACTGAGCTAAGGGAGGCCTCAAAGTTGTAGCTTAGAAAATTTCCCCTAAGAATAGTTATAGAAATTTTCGAAAAAGCAGTATGGAAAATGGGTAGACGACAATGAGCAAAAAGTTTGATTTTCCCATAGTAATTTCCAAATAAACTTCGAATAGTTTGTGCCAAGTCAGTTTCTTACCAAATGAGTTTAATTTTTCGGAGGCTAATCAGGACCTGATTTGAAACCGTGAAATAGGTGTGTTTCATAAAACTATAGTATAGAAAGCTTGAAAATAACCGTATAAGTTTTATTAGACTAATGACGCTTAGTAACCGCTGTACCCTCCATTGTTAAGTAGAACCTTGTTCAATCTTCTTGGCATTGACTCAAGCGAGCACTGAAATGCATTCTCCGGTATGGCATACCACTATTATTGAACTGTGGTCCATAGTTGATCCTTATTTGAAAATGCTTGACCAGATAACTTTCTTTTAAGCTCGTTCCATCAGAAGATTGGCTAGGCCATGAAATAACCGGCACTTTGTTTGAACCGAAACCATTCCTTTACATACTTAGAAGTGTGTTTCGGATCGTTGTCTTGCTGAAAATGCCATATAAGAGGCATGTTCTCTTCTGCATAAGGGAGCATAACCTCCTCCATGATCTCTTTGTATTCAAATCTGGTCATGATGGAATTAATACAGAAAATGGGACCTACTCCAAACCAAGAAAAACAGCCCCAAACCATGATGCTACCACCTCTATGCTTTACGGTCTTTACGGTGCACCGTGGATCGAACTCTTTAACGGATGGTCTACGTGAGAATATAGTAAATGACTATTTTGATTTTATTTGACATGTGGAAGTTTTTGCTCAGGCTTCTTGATTAAGTAAATGATTTAACAGGTTATAATATTCGTTTTTTGGTATTAAATAAACGATTTAAATTAAATAAACGATTTATAATATTCGTTTTTTGGTATTAAATAAACGTTTTTTGGTATTAAATAAACGATTTATTAAATAAACGATTTGGTATTAAATAAACGAAAGATTAACATTAGATGGTCGGAGAGTAAAAGCAGGTGAGTACGGAAAGTACTTAATTCAGATATCCCAAAACTCATCCGAGAGAGATTCCAAGAAAGCTAATTGAGCCATGCGTTTTGCATTGAGCCGATATCGATTCTGTGTGGTTTCACCAGTTTTGAAGAATAGCCTCTCTGACGGAACACTTGTTAACATTTTCGATAAATAGTCTCGAGCAATAGGGTTTACATGGGGATAAACACTACGGATTTTCACCCATTATCGCAAAAGATCGACAGAATGTGGGAAAACAGGCTGATGCAAAAAATATTGTAATTCTGCCGGGGGCGATGCAGTTCTGACATGAACCTGAAATATGTCATAAAAAGTGAACGTTTGTACATATGTACATTAATAAGTTTCTTTACCATTTCGTCATGAATATCCCACAGGCCTCCGGTTGGTTTTGGTAGGGGGACAGGTGTGTGCAATCATCGAATACTCTTTCGGTACTATAGATCTGCTCAGACACAATTTTAACTGCCCGAGCGTGACCTGAAAACTCCAGGTACAGGTCAATATTAAATTGCAAATGCAAATGCGCTGATTTTTTTTTGTTGGATCGAAACAAAAATCGAATGAAAAGGATCGATCCAGTCGATATATGTCGTTTTGTAAGATCGATTCAAAAAATCGATTAATCGAACCAAAAGAATCGATCATTTGTGATCATTGCTAACCCCATTTCACCTGAAATTGCTGCTTCATGTATGATGTACATACCATAACTGTCCCATCTTTGCTTGATTTCCTATTCATATGGGACATTTATACTTGTATGGACAGTTTAAATTAGAGGAATTTACGTATTCTCGTCTATCTAAGCAGCGGCTACGCTTCTATGGGCTGTTTTTTTTTCTATATAACGCACACAATTGCCGTGTTAGGTTGTTTGCATTTAACTGTTGCCTGCAGGTTTATCCATTTTATTCGATAGAATTGCCCAAAACTGTTTAAAACCACTTATACAACGTTCCAAACTACTCAGATGAGTGTGACTATTGTCGGCAACCTCTTTTTCTTCGGCAATCTTTCCATTTGATCTGTTTGTTAATCTGCTGTTCTATTATCGGTAAATCGAAATCAACCGCATTCTGCAGTGCATGTGTTTCATTAAAAAAAAAAACTGCAAAAATACGTTTGCTCAGTCATTAAAACCTTATCAGATTGAAGCCGGAAGGGTCAGGAATCCCTTGAATACATTCAGTGAGAGTTTTACTGAGAAAATACATAGAAATTTCCGTAAAAATTGTTGTTGTCGAAAACAGTCAATGGGTGCGGAAGCCGACATTTACCCTACTAGATAAAGCTGGAATTAGGGCCCAACAGCTTTTGTAACAATGACTTCAATCGATGATTTCTAGAAACTCAAGGCTCGCCCACGTAAACCAACCTCCTCATCGGGTAGGGAAAGACTTTCCTTATCCGATGGTTGTGTTGGTCTGCGTGGACGTGCCTTTAGTTCCTAGAAATCATCGATAGAAGTCATTGTTTACAAAAGCTGTTACGCCTTAATTCCAGCTCTATCTAGACTTAATCCTTTATTTTTTTTAATTTTGTTGCCCAAATGCTTTCAAAATTGAATATGTGGTTGCTATGAAAATGAATAACAGGTCTGTAGGGGTAGCAGTTGCAAAGAGAGCAAGTGGGCATAATGATCATCTAATTGTTCAAAATAAATTATATCAAAGCTTTGTATTGGTTAGAATTATTAAATATTCTTTGTTTTTCCAGATGCCAAACGTTTGATTGGTCGCAAGTTTGACGATGCAACCGTACAGGCTGACATGAAGCATTGGCCGTTCGAGGTGATCAGCGATGGTGGCAAGCCGAAGCTGCAGGTCGAATACAAAGGTGAAAAGAAGAGCTTCTTTCCCGAGGAAGTCTCATCGATGGTGTTGGTCAAGATGAAGGAAACCGCCGAGGCATACCTGGGAATCAAGATTGCCAACGCTGTCATCACCGTGCCGGCTTACTTCAACGATTCGCAGCGTCAGGCTACGAAGGATGCTGGAGCAATTTCCGGGCTGAACGTGTTACGTATCATCAACGAACCGACGGCGGCTGCGATCGCATACGGTTTGGACAAGAAAGGATCCGGTGAAAGGAATGTTCTGATCTTTGATCTGGGTGGCGGTACCTTTGATGTGTCAGTTCTGACCATCGAGGATGGCATTTTCGAGGTGAAGTCTACGGCTGGTGATACCCATTTGGGTGGCGAAGATTTCGACAATAGAATGGTGAGCCATTTTGTGGAGGAATTCAAGAGGAAGCATAAAAAGGACTTCTCAAGCAACAAGCGTGCATTGAGACGCCTGCGTACGGCTTGTGAGCGAGCAAAGCGTACTTTGTCTGCTTCCACCCAGGCTAGCATTGAAATTGACTCACTGTATGAGGGTATTGATTTCTATACTTCGATGACCCGAGCCCGTTTCGAAGAATTGAACTCTGATCTGTTCCGTGATACAATGGAACCGGTAGCCAAGGCTCTGCGTGATGCCAAGATGGACAAGAGCAGCATTAACGATATTGTCCTAGTTGGTGGCTCAACTCGTATCCCCAAGGTGCAGAAACTGCTGCAGGACTTTTTCAACGGTAAGGAATTGAACAAGTCTATCAACCCGGATGAAGCTGTTGCTTACGGCGCAGCGGTTCAGGCTGCCATCCTACAGGGTGATACATCGGAAGCTGTTCAGGACTTGCTGCTTCTGGACGTCACTCCATTGTCTCTTGGTATTGAGACTGCTGGAGGTGTAATGACCGTGCTGATCAAACGTAACACCACCATTCCAACCAAGCAAACTCAGACCTTTACTACATACTCGGATAACCAGCCGGGTGTATTGATTCAGGTCTATGAAGGCGAACGTGCTATGACCAAGGACAACAACTTGTTGGGCAAGTTCGAGCTTAGTGGAATTCCTCCAGCACCCAGAGGTGTTCCCCAGATTGAGGTAACGTTCGATCTCGATGCCAACGGTATCATGAACGTTTCCGCTATTGAGAAATCGACAAACAAGGAAAATCGCATCACCATCACAAACGACAAGGGACGTTTAAGCAAGGAGGACATTGACCGTATGGTCAACGAAGCCGAGAAGTTCCGTAATGAAGATGATAAGCAAAAGGAGAAGATTAGTGCCAAGAATTCTCTGGAGTCGTACTGCTTCAACATGAAGTCTACGATGGAAGATGCAAACATCAAGGACAAAATTCCTGAATCAGATAAGACCATGATTACCGACAAGTGCAATGATACCATTGCTTGGCTGGATGCTAATCAGACTGCTGAGAAAGAAGAGTTTGAACACAAACAGAAGGAACTGGAAGCTGTGTGCAATCCGATCATTCAGAAGCTGTACCAGAGTGCTGGTGGTATGCCAGGAGGTATGCCAGGAGGTATGCCCGGAGGTACGCGAGGTGCTGGTGGACCTCCACCGACCGGAGGGGCTGGACCAACCATTGAGGAAGTCGACTAAACTTTTCTTTTAAAAGGAGGAAATTCTTTTTAATAAGTCAGAATAAAAAAGACTAGTCCGAGAAATTTACAGAATCCGTTTTTATCTTGTTTCTTTATTACGGAAACGATCGCAACATTTGTCTCGATTACACAGTTTTGGTTTTACATAGCTCACGTGTCAAGACAAATTCATTCGTACAAAAAGTAATAGCAACAAATAAGAACATTTTTCTTGTCACGTATTGTAACACAGCTGTTTGGTTTTTGCATGTAAAATTTCGCTTTTTTTATTAACAGATTTTTATCCAGATTATTCACTTGCCTAAATATAAACGCCTTAGCTTTTGTTTTTGTCGGCTTTGTTTTTTCAGCTTAATTTGTATATAAATCCTTACTGGCTAAACTGCTTCTCGTAACGAGTATCCGCTATAAAGTTTATTCAATAATTTGTCGACAGCCACATTTTATTCTACACACCAGCAAATTGGTTGTTGCTTGATACTCAATCAAAACGCATTGGGGGAAGCAATTCAACAGATTGGTCACATTTTTCTTTATTGATAATCGAAATTAATGTTTAATAAAATCAACAGGAATATTTTCCATTTACCATTTACTACGCTCTGTATTGTTTTTATTAGGTTCGCATATGTACATATTTGGAAATCAATGTCCTTTCGTTTAGTTCAATGTCGTGTGCACTTATGTGATCCGCTTAGTGATGCCTTTGATTTGATTAGTCTTCGGTCGCTCCTGTGATGATTTCATTTTCGGGGTGATGTGTTCTCATTTCACTTTTATTCCATAGTTTTAAGTTTAATTCACTTTTAATGTATCAGTCTATGTTTAAAAGTATTTTTTTATATCGATCTTGATGAGTCATTCCATTTTGCGCTTGTGCTTGTTGGTAGAATAGATTGTATAACACTAGCGAATTGAACAAAAAATATATCGTCTAGAATTGTCGAGCAAGGTTGTGAATGTTATTTGGTTGTTGATCATTTTGGGACGTCATTGCAATAAAAATCGACTTTTAAATTGTTCCTGGATGATAATTTTTTTCCTTGATTCCTGCTCCCACACCTGGACCCAACCCATCGACCCATCATCAACTCATGAAGCGGGGACCAACGGCTTTACTTCCCCTGAGCAGAGCTTTTATGTCTCAGAACATCCTTGCGGCGTCAACTGGGATTGACTCCTGCTGAAGTGATAATCTTCCGAGTTGGTTCCGAACGTATCTTACCGGTCGTCAACTTAACGTTGGCATTGCAAATAAGAGATTGTAGATTATCTAGTTTCTGCGCCATGTAGCATTTTCGCCAGTTGGTGCACTTTAAACAACTTTGTGAGCTCAACGCTGATTTGAATTCTCTAAATTCGGCTAAGTATTGTCGCTACAGTTAAAAACTGGAATAACCCACAAATGAAAATCGATTCTACTCTTGTTCTATACATTATACAGTGATACTACTTCCGACACTATGTATAACAGTGTAGGTATAACGTATAGAACGAGAGTAAAATTGATTTTCGCTAGTGAGCTATCCCAGTTTTCAGCTGTAACGATAATAATGTATGCGGTTTGGTTTCAAAACATTAAAAACAGCCCTAATAAAATTGTATGGTTATATTGCTTAACGACGTGTTGAGGGTATCATCCAAACCATTTGTGGAATAGCTCTATCATTTGGGTTATGGTATTTTTTTTATTATGGAAGGTTTTGCACCGTCGGGGTTAACCTCAATCGGATGACGTAGACTTAGTCATTTTTTCTTCTTTCCTTTATTTAACGTCGGTCTTTGTTCCGCAATCTAGTGCCAGTCACCGACGGACATCGATTGCCATCCATTGACGGCAATCGAATGTGCAGGAAGGCAGCTTCCACACCTGCGTAGGATATCGCACCCATTCAACACACATGGGCCGGGACCGACGGCTTTACTTCCCTTCCGAAGGAAGACGTGACCAGAGATTGTTATGCCCACCGACCTCGGCTGGGATTGAACCCAGACCCATTGAGGCGAGAAAGCAGTCACGCTTACAACTACACCACCGGCACCGGCTTAGTAATTGTTTACTTGAGAAGATTTTCTCGATAGTTTTCCACACTACACTGCACACTGGGCCAGGAATGAAATCTAGTGGAGCAAAATTAATCACTTCGAAATGAAGCATTTCCGCGACATGGTGTCTTGCACAAAGTTTCTCAACGGCGCCGGTGGTGTAGTGGTAAGCGTGATTACCTCTCACCCCAGCAGGCCTGGGTTCAATCCCAGTCGGCGCCGCCGGGATGTTCTGAGGCATAACATCTCTGAACACGCCTTCCTTCGGATGGGAAGTAAAGCCGTTGGTCCCCGGTTCATGAGTTGATGGGTCGATAGGTAGGGTCCAGGTGTGGGAGCTACCTTCCTGGCACGTCGGTAGCATTGGTGCTCAGCACGGAAAACAAGATCGACAAAAAAACAAACCAAAGGAAAAAAAAAAAGACAAGGTTTCTCATCATAATAAGGACCATCTTTGGCGTTAACAAATAGTTCAAAACTCTTCTGAAAAGATGGCGCCACAATCTAACTTCTTTCCCTGACGTTTTGGAGACTTAATGTCTTCGGCAAAGATCTTGACAAAATAAATAACTCTTTTGAAGATGTACAATTTCCATAGCCTACTGGCTACGAGTTATATGGAGTTAAATAAATAAATGTCAAAAATATGGTTTTTTTTCTTTCTGTTTCGTTTTTTTCCTTACAGCCCTATAATGTTATATTTTTCTCTTATGTAAATGCATTAAATAAATAATTTTTGACAAGAAACATACTGGTTTAAGCTTAAAATTTTAAGAATATTGTGAAAAAAAAACGAGAAAAACAGCAATTTTTGAACTTTAATATATCGCAACCTGACATTTTCAACAAAAAATAAACAATACTCGATAAACGAAGTGTCAAAATTGGAGAGAGGTATATTTTGGTGTTTTTGAGATTTCTTCATTTTAGTGGAACATGTTTTTCTTTCAATTACTTTTTTGAATGCATTGAAATTGTGTTTTGAAGACTTGATGTCTTCGGAAAAGTTGTTTACCTTGATAAAATAAACAACTCTTCTTAAGACGTCAAAACTCTACAGCCTACTATCAGCATACAGCAAGTCTCCAAAGCGTCAGAGAAAGAAGTTAGATTGTGGCGCCATCTTTGCAGAAGAGTTTTGAATTATTTGTTTATGTCAATATGATGAGAAACTTTGCCGAAGACACCAAGTCGCGGAAATGCTTCGTTTCGGAGCTATTATTTTTTCTCCGCTGGATTGTATTCCTGGCCCAGTGTGTGAGATGTAATCCACACTTCTTCAAAGTCAGCGAGCAACATCCTATCGCCGTGCATTTCCTCAGCATTTTTTAAATTAAAATTCGTGATTTTTAGTATATTTTTTTTCGGAAAAATTTCGAAGTGCTTGTATACAGTTCTACTGAACTGTAAAAAGTTCATCTGATAATCACTGAGTTCATTCGTGACGTCACGCTGCAGAATCTACACTGAGGAAAATAGACTTAAGGCTTAACTTATGAACGACACATATGAATTTCATAAGCACGGCTGAAAGATTTTCGTCTAACATGAAGTAGGGGAAATGTCGGCTTCGGCAATACCTTAACCTATTATCGTCAAGGGGTAAACAACGTCCTTGAGAGCTCAATTTTACCATGAGAATACGTTGTGTTTCAGAGCATCTATTGGCCAAATTTGAGTGCTCTAGGGCTTTGTTTACCCACCAGAAGATAATAGGTTAAGGTATTGCCGAAGCCGACATTTCCCCTAGCTCTTCTACGCCATTAGCCATTTCATTTACCCAAGCGTCCAGTAACAGGACCCGTAATCTCAAATGGTTCGGTGCCAGCCTGCTCAGTTTTATTATTTCGTCGGCATTTTTTTTCCTTTGATTTGTTTTCCGTCGATCTTGTTTTCCGTGCTGAGCACCAATGCTACCGACGCCAGGGAGGCAGCTCCTACACCTGGACCCTATCTATCGACCCATCACAACTCATGAACCGGGGACCAACGGCTTTACTTCCCTTCCGAAGGAAGGCGTGATCAGAGATGTTATGCCGCAGAACATCCTGGTGGCACCGACTGGGATTGAACCCAGACCTGCTGGGGTGAGAGGTAATCACGCTTACCGCTACACCACCGGCGCCGCTATTTTTTGTCGGCATTAATTTTCATAAGGCAAATCTTTGAAATTCACACCGATTTATTGTGACTAAAATTCATAAGTGGTTCTTGTGGAATTATTACGTTCTTTTGTTTCAGTGTAATGGTGCCAAGAGAATCGAATATGTTCAACGAGCCTTTCTTCGTTTTCCGCTTCGTAGACTGTCTTGGAGGGTTACGAGATGAACTAGCCATTGTGCTAAAAATCTGTTTTATTAATAGCTCGACTGGATTATCATTTATCGGCGCGTTTGAAATTGCTTTTGCAATAAAAAAAAATACAACTTTTACTACACTGCACAGTGGTTGAAAAGTCCATTTTGACGCTCTTAATTAATAGCACCATGGAGAGTTGATTTAGAGTAATGACGTCTTGGGCAAAGTTGATGAGTATGACATGTTACATCTTTTGAAGGCATGGGTTTTGTGATTAATCCCCCTGAAAGTGAAATGGAAAATTTATTTTTTCACAATGTCAAGATAAATGGTTGATGTCTTCAGCAAAGTTGTAGAAAAAATGGTTACAAACAACTTTGCCCAAGACTTAAACGTCGTAAATTCCACTTAAATCGAGATAGAGAGCGTTGTTTGAGGACGGACCTCCAAAACACGTTTTTCATAAAAACATATATTTTCTTTAATTTTAGGTCTTCACTATGTTGAACAAAGTTGATTGGTATACTAAAATACACATCTTTCTTGAACATACTATACCTGCATCATTTTAATAGGATGAGTTATTGATAAAAAAAATTCTATTTTCCACGTATTTTGAACTAGAGTATCTTTCTTAGGTGCAAGAAGGTGCAGATGAAGTGAAATGCATCTAAAACTACATTAAAAGAGCTTTCAAATGGTGGTAAGCTTGTCCGTCCACGACCGTCTGCTGGAGAGTTGTGATCAAAACAAACACTCGTTGATAGGCTTTATAGAAGTCATGTAAACAACAAGGGGATACTGTGTTTTATACCGTGTAATAAATTCCTTTCCATAGTAGCCGGCTCCATAAACAAACTTCCCACATCTCAGAGCTTATAAAATTCAAGCACTACACATTTTTTTTTCAAACGGTTCTCAGAAGGTAAAACTGAAGCATCAAGAACGAAAAAATCTGTCAAATTCAGTTAAACTTGTGAGTCTATAAGTGTTTTTCCATAGTGAATGTAAGATAGAAGAACTGCGGAAACCAAGCGAAGGAGAGAGAGACTAATTCTGCCAAAGAAACCGGACAGCAGAGGAAGCTACGAGAGCAGGACTTTGAAGTAAAATGGCATTATCTGGTAGGGCTTAATTTCTTTTAAATTTTACAATTCATCGTTAGATCACAACAAGTGCTAATGATCTTTTTTTTTCTTGATTCAATTTAAGTTGAAATTGATAAGCGTGATCTCTTGTCACTATGGTCAAAAACGAGTGGAGGCCGATCATCAAAATTCAACTGCGTTTATGAGAAGGTACTCCAGTGTTATGCCATAAATGTGAATATTATGCCGGATGTGGCTGCACATGTCGGAAAACCCATGAAAACGATGTGCGACTTTTTTCAAAAGCTCTGGACCAAACATGCTCGTGCATGGTTGTCAAGTGTCACATCGAGTATTTCAGTAAGCCGTGCACGGTTACGGTAAACGTTTTAAACTTGCTTCAGTCTACTTCTGAAAATGCGAAAAGTGTGGCAGGACGGAATGTTGTTCCTTTTGAAGAATGTTGTGAAACAACGTAAAGGAAGAAAACTGGAGAGGTTTGGAATAGCTACCAGCTTAATGAGCTAGCATTTGCGACACAAATGAAGATGAGAGAATCAGGTGAGAAAGAGGTGGCGGATATCCTGAAAAACGTTTCTCACGCAAGTCCTGCAGATGAAAATAAGTTGGTTCATTCTTTGAAAAAGTCATTGAGCAACCCTATACCCGAATACACAGATCTACATGCATTATTGGCTTTGTTAATCGACACCAACCTATCGAACCTGGTATTACTTGCCAGCTAGTATTCATAAAGTATTGATACATAGATCAGCCGTCATTGAACATTTCCTTGTTCCAATCGGTCAGCTTTCTGAGGAAGCACAGGAGGCAAGGAACAAGGATTGGAAGAGGTACATGTATTTAACCAAAATACCAACGAATAAATTAATAGAACTTTTACTAAGCAGATACCGAGAGTTCAATACCCGCAAGCAATCAAGATCGCTTACAAATCGTGATCTATTGAACTGGCTCCTAGTATCATCAGTGCATTGATTACTAGCATTCGTGGATAGCCTTAAAAGCACAAGAAGCCATTGTCGAGTGATGCTAAACAGCTGCTAGCTGAATAAGCTAAAGGAAACGATAATGATTATATTGATGCTTATGATTATGATAATAATGATGATAATTGAATACAATACAAAATATTGACAACAAAAATGCAACCAATCAAACAAAAAGTTTTTAATTGAGAAAAATATGTGGATATATTGAGGTTGATTATCTTTTTTTATACTGGTTATATCATAAAACAGAGTTAATATATGGATACTTGTTTTGGTCACAACTCTCCAGCAGACGGTCGTGGACGGACAAGCTTACCACCATTTGAAAGCTCTTTTAATGTAGTTTTAGATGCATTTCACTTCATCTGCACCTTCTTGCACCTAAGAAAGATACTCAAGTCCAAAATATGTGGAAAATAGAATTTTTTTTATCAATAACTCATCCTATTAAAATGATGCAGGTATAGTATGTTCAAGAAAGATGTGTATTTTAGTATACCAATCAACTTTGTTCAACATAGTGAAGACCTAAAATTAAAGAAAATATATGTTTTTATGAAAAACGTGTTTTGGGGGTCCGTCCTCAAACAACGCTCTCTATCTCGATTTGAGTGGAATTTACGACGTTTAAGTCTTCGGCAAAGTTGTTTGTAACCATTTTTTCTACAACTTTGCTGAAGACATCAACCATTTATCTCGACATTGTGAAAAAATAAATTTTCCATTTCACTTTCAGGGGGATTAATCACAAAACCCATGCCTTCAAAAGATGTAACATGTCATACTCATCAACTTTGCCCAAGACGTCATTACTCTAAATCAACTCTCCACATGGTGCTATTAATTAAGAGCGTCAAAATGGACTTTTCAACCACTGTGCACTGTATTGGAATAAATTCGGAAAATAAGTTCAAAAAGCTGTTATAATGCACAGAGAAAATCGATGAAGAGTGATCGTCGACTGCTATTATCAATCTATGTGGCGAAAATAGCAAGAAATTTGTTTGCAAAATAATGTCGAAGAAGAGAATCTATCAAAGCAGACAGGTCCTTTTGAAATGTTCATCTAGATTAAACATCAAAAACAAATCCGATATGTGCGGTATTGAATACCCCTCGCATAGAGATGCTAGCCGCTCACTATTTACTACGAACATAACCCTGCGCACTCCTCAGATGATGTGACGGCAGACTACGAGAGCACGCAGCGATCGTCTCTCGTCCACTTCCTCATCGTATCGTCATTGCGAGTGGACGCCTGCAATCGGATTCCTCAATCAATGGCAGAATTTCACATTGGCGATCCTGCCAGGTCATTATAAACAGTTGCGTCCGAACAAAATGTGAAATTTGGCTTGTGGAACGCCACAAGGTGTGTCTGGACGACCACCGGAGCATTGAGTATTCTGGCATAAAACAATGTGCAGATTGTTTTGGTTTGTGGTTCGAAAACGCCACAAGGTGTGTCTGGAAGACCACCGGAGCTTTGATTGGAAACCTCGTGTATTTGGCATAAAGCATTGTGCATTTTGTGTGTGGCTAGGAATGCTGCAAGGTGTGTCTAGAAGGCCACCGGAGCTTTTAATTGAAAGCATTTCATATTAATTGTTCAAATTTCTGGCTTATGGTTGGGAACGATGCATGCAGCGTCTCGAAGACCACCGGAGAATTGATCTAAACCGTTTCGTAGACTGGCATAACACATTGTTTGTCCGGAAGACCACTAAAGCATGTGCAGTATATGCAGTTTGACTTAAAGATGGATGTGTCTCGAAATCCATCGGAAATCGACATGCAATGGCGTGTCTAGAAGACCGCCAAAATATTGGTGTCAGTGGTTTGTGACCTGTTAAGGTGCGTCTAGTAGACTCCGGAATGTTAATGATTTGTGATTTACAATAATCCAAGGTGTGTCTGGAAGACCATCAGCATGTTTTTCATAAATTGTTTGCGACAATTGCTAGTCAAAGGTGAGTCTGAAAGACCACCGAAACAATGATCGAATATGAATTATGTTGCGTCTTAAGGACCACCGGAGTATTGATCGAAAGTAATTAATACTGCGTCTGGAAAACTACCGGAATAATGATGGAAAGTGAATTATGTTATGGAAATTTGATCGAACGTGGTTAATGGTGCATTAGGAAGACCACCGGCGCGACGCATTAAAGGTTTTAAAATCAACATAGTTGTGAGATGGAGTACTCCGCAAACAAATAAGGCCACGAACACCTAAAAAAAAATGTTTTGACAGATGTTTTTTTTTTTTGTACACGCTTAAAACAGTAAACCCAACTATGAGCAATGTTTTAATATCGAACAAACCCAGAATATAGCTAAATTGCATTACCCAAAGCTGGATGAATCGTTGAACAGGAAGATGTATAATTTTAAGAAGCTTATTTACATAAAATTCAGTCAAATTCAGTGGCGAAAAAGTGACAAGGTGGGAAAGATTGAGCATTTAAAGAAAATTCAGAAGCAAATTGAAGATACGGGTTTAATGGACAAGGAGGTAAGGTGAAATGATTGTCGAACGCACCAGTGAAGGAAAACGATCATGGTCAGTCTCGCTCCCGATAATGTGGAACATCTTTCTTTGTCATCGTTGAATGGTCACCCGGGTAGCATCTTGAGCGGACCCTATATCTAGCAATGCTAGAACCTTAAGTAGAACCTTCCGCTTAAGGAGCTCTGCAAGATGGCTTGTTTGTTCATTTAACCGGTACATTTAAGCTACACAGATAATTTGAAGATGGTTGTATTTACTCCTACTAAGACACCCCAGTTGTGTATGTTTGATATTATTGGAAAGGATGAAGCAGGTTGTGAAGGGAAAGGAGAAACTGGTAGAGATTAAGAGATTCGAGCATGAGAAGAACAGTGTAGATCCAGGAACTCCAGCAACTGTAGGCCCAAGTTTTTGGCAATTATTCCCAAATAAGAACTTATCAGTGATTCCAGTTTTCTTTTCAAGGAAAATTTAGTAAATGTTACCCCTGGAAATTGATAAGAGAGCTAAGGCATTTTACTGGAGACACACACCACCTACTAATCTGACGAAAAACAGTTGCACATTGGTCAATGCAGTTGTGCGATGTACACAGAATTTGAGATAACATAATTTTGAGAAGTGTAATATTGTATCCACTTTTACCAGCTGCTGCAGATGTCCATCATCATCATGAATAATATTGATACATCTTACATTTGATTGCCTGTGAGTGAAGGTAACAAAAACGTGTTCCTTTCCTCCTCTTTCCGTGAAGTCATTCTTCTCAAGATTCTCAAGATACTACGATCGATGTTTTTTTTAATGGAGGAGGGAGATGTGCGGTATTGAATACCCCCCGCATAGAGATGCTAGCCGCTCACTATTTACTACGAACATAACCCTGCGCACTCCTCAGATGATGTGATGGCAGACTACGAGAGCACGCAGCGATCGTCTCTCGTCCACTTCCTCATCGTATCGTCATTGCGAGTGGACGCCTGCAATCGGATTCCTCAATCAATGGCAGAATTTCACACGATAATATTTCTGAAATGTGTATGTGTAATCAGTGATGTCAAAATATCAATATGAAATACAGTAGGATTTACATCTAATTTCCGTCGTACTATGCACAGTCCGCACTTTACGTCTCTTTTTTTAACGAGGGGGGCGACTCTATTTACGATGCAGGAAAGATTGTGTTTTACTGTGGATAGCTGCACTCATGCTAAGGCTCTAAACCATTTGGTGGATTATTTTAACTTTTGGTTAAAATTAGACAGATGGAAAGTTATAGATTAACCCTGCTATCCGAGCGTGGTTATTTCTGACCGACGAGAAGATAAATTTTGACAACCGTGGCTGAGTTCTGCTTGAAAACCGATCGATCGGTAACACAGGGATTTTCGAACATAAGAAATAACTTTCGCAATGTCACTTTTAACCACGAGTTAAATTTAACTCTTCAAATGGTTCACAGCCTAAGAAGATAGAAAGAAGATTCATGACTGTGCTGAAGATTTCCTGCAAATGTGCGATGCAAGTAGATGAGAGAAATGAAAGAAGATTTTTCGAAGATTGATTCGCTGAGACATTTTGAGCATCTAGAATTGAGCTTTAGATGTGTTGCGCCCTTGTTTTCAAACAAGTTTCTATCTTTAATGACTTCAAAATTTAATTACCTTTGCATTAGTACCGTTGGATATGATTGAGAGTCACACATTGTTGAACTATTGTGTATAAGCCACTGCTTGTTGATTCCAATTCCGTCAGACGAGTTTCTATTCCACCCAAACACATTGAAACGTCATTGGATTCACTTCGGCATACGAATGAAGGTAGGAAACATAGATTCTCTATTAGCGCTTCTTTTGTTTTTGGGAAGAATGGATGTAAATATACATATTATGCGACTTTGATTTGTAGCTTGCAATTTGTAATATAAAACACGGAGAACACGGGATTGTAAAGTTGACCCATTTTTATTTATAATTTTGGGCAGGATCGGCTATGTTCATACGAAATTTGAACTTAGCGTACTTTAGTTTTATGTTTAAAACTGTTTCTTGCAGTACTAGTGATGAGTAATTTTCCAAAAAAATCACAATTTTTGTTCTCGATTTGTTATTTCAAAATGGCGGAAAACGATTCAAATGCAAGAACAATTCAATATTTTTTTGAGGTCAGTTCAGATGTTATAATTTTTGAAAGCGATTAGTGGAGCGTAGAAATTTGGTAAGGTGCCCACTGGTAGCTCAAGACTGTCGTTGACAAAAGTATTGCAGGAAGGGAGGGAGGTGAGTGTTGTTGTACTGGGATATGAGGGGCGTCTATTCGTATGATTTGCATTCGCAATAAGCATGTTGCACAAATTCGTAGGCGCTACAAGTCCTAGACCATTGTATGAGAGTATTGCCACCTCCGTCCATTACCGTATTGATCGAGATTGTGGGATTTATCTCGGCCTCTTAGATGGAAGTAGCACTATCTGCAACAATCAAATATTCTCGCGTCACTTTTCAAATAGCCCAATCCATCGATTCTCTTCATTAACATTCTCTTTCGTTAATAACTTGATTCCAAAAACATGTTCAGCTGTTCTTATCATCAAATACGCTTAATAATATTTTCTTTTAACAAACTATGTAGAAAATTTAGCCCGAAATATGACTGCAGCCAAGTTATTAACAAAAGAGAGAATCGATGAAGAGTCCTAGCTACGTCGTTGTAACTAATGGGGATGGGAAATATTAGTATAAGTTGTAACACTTACTATTAGTATGAGTATTAGTATTAGTTAGACACTAACTTAAGAGAGATGCAGAGAACTCTACAACCTCTCTGAAGTGTCACAGAAGTTTGGAGGTTTGCTATGGTGCTATGGTGAACAGGAGGAACTCAGTCAATCAAGCCCAAAACTATATACCGGGAAACCTTGAATATTTCATCAACCAGCATTCAAGATTTCGAAAATGCTGATGTATGTTCAGAGAAGTAATATAGCTCATTGTACATTTTTGCAGGGAAAATAGAGGTGTAATACGAGGGTTTAACTAAAGGCGTTTCTTCATGAATTTTTCAACATAAATTCAAAGGTTTACCAATCAGGATTTCTGGATGAGATGCTAAGCTATCATTTGTGGAAATTTTTATGGAAATTGATCTAAGGAAAGCACGATAAAAATGCAGTTACCGCGTATTACACCTAGTTCCCTTACTGTATGTGGTTCCGGTACAGCAAATGCTTACAAAATCGATTCTGTTTGAATTCATTGTGGTTTATTTTTATTTATTAGCATAAAAACGAAGACATCAAATCAAGAAGACTGGCAACTCTGCCAGAATCCAAGCGACAGATACAGTAGCTCTGCGCTCAAGCGAAGGTGGAAGTACTGCATGGAAAAATGAGCAAATACACAAACCTTTCTTCTGATGTTGTACTCTTTGCTATCAAAATCGTTCTAAGCATTTACCTTTGCGCGGAAGATGATGCGATTGTGTTAGATCCATAGCGGTCGTATGAGAAAATGGAAGAGTTGCCAGTCTTTTTGATTTGTTGTCTTCGATAAAAAACTATATTGTCCACATAATAAGTGTTTTGATCAACAACCAAATAGAATCCTCTCGCGTTTTTTAAACTGAATCATGCGAAAATTCACGTATAGCACAGATTACAGCATTGAGTATGCAACATTTATGCAAACACAAAGCGTGTCTGCAATATCCATCCGCGCATAACGAATTTATATTTTTTTTTTCTTTCTCTCCGATTACCATCCATACAATTTATATATCATATGTCAATACTTGAACAAAACTATATCTTCTCTTAAAGCATATCGACGTCCTTCTCAGCATTCCCAGTATTTTTTCATTGGTTTTAGAATTTATCCGATTTCTAATTAGAAAAAATCCTAGGATATAAACGCTACACTTTCAACGTTGGTAATTTCTGTGTTTGAGAGCAAATTGAATTATTGTAATCTGTTATGTTTTTTTGTTTAGTAGCTTGCATATTATGTTTATTTTTTTTCCATAGAAACTTGAATCAACTCAATCAACTGTTGAATTGGGGCGATAAAGTAACACAACTCGCAGAAGTCTATCTATTCCATTTTGCTCTTACAATCACTAACTGAGTGGAAGAAGAATGGTTCTTCTGTCGAGTTAACTGCTTGTTGTCTTGTTTTTGTTCTAGGTTTATCTCAATTCATTTAGTTCCGGTTACGGGTTCCGAGCATTGTACTTTTCCTCGTTTTTTGTTTTGTTTTGTGTTTATCGTGCGTTGAATTATTCTCTCATAAGAGTATTTTCAGTTGTCTTACTATGCGATGTTTGATTCCGGTGTCATCTCAACAGTTTGAGTCATCAATTTAATCAAATTATAGGTCTGCTGCACTTATAACTGGTTGAGCTTGTTGCTGTACGGATTGATTATTGCTTATATAGTGATTTAGTAGTAGAACACTGCTGATTTTTTTTGTTTGTCTGTTCATATTTTCTCACATTAAACTTCAAATCTGAGGCTCAGATGCTCTATGGAACTTGGAACTTTAGACTTCACTGGGGTTTTTGTTTTATCAGTCAACTGATACTACAGTATTTGGGAACAAGAGCTAAATCGATTCGATTCATAACCAGATTTGTTTGTTTTGATTAGATTGGTCTATCGTTTAACATATTTACCTTCTTCGTCCTGTTGTTTCCATTTTTTGCATTCCTATTTTTGTTGTTGATGTTGTTGTTATTCTAGACTACGCCTGAATTACACTATATAAATGTCGTACTTAATAGTGTAACTTATCTAAAAATTCCATAAAATGTCTATTCAACAATGATGATAACCTCTAGGTTGTTTCCTCTTCGTGGTTGTGTGTAAATTTGAGATTTGTGTCATTATGCCATGCTTTGCACCGTTCATTATTTCAGCAGCTCAGTGGAACTGCATGGGCCGTCGTAGCCACCACACATACTATCACTAGCAGATCTCTGGCTTAGGTTAGGAGAAAACTGAAAATTGACAATTAGTGCGATTATTTGTTCACTAAATACATAGATCTAAATTGCTCACATACCTCCTGGGTTTCATCAACTGACGGGAGCAGGTCGTCTATCGAGTTCGGGGTCATCGGGCTGGGGGTGGTGAGGATGGGTTTGTTCATTGGGCAGGATATCACATCGCCTATGATGATGTTTGGTTTGATTTTCTGAAGCTGCTGCTGCTCCTGAAGCCGGACCAGGTGTTTCTTCATTTCTTGCCGCAGCTCTTTCTGTTGGATTTCCTGCTCAAATCGCCGCATGCTGTAACTCCGAACCGACGACGTTGTACTGTGAACTGAAGCTAAACTTGGTCTTCGAGAGTCTGTTTGGACGTCGTTTAAGTATGTAGCAATTGCCAGTCAACCGGAAGTGATAAAACGACGAAGAAAAAGAAACGGAAAAATAGACACACAAGAAGATAAAATGAGAAATGATTATCCAATGCTCAAACGGACTCTGAATCACTAACGGAAAGGAATAAATAGCATGTTTGAGAGAGTAACGGTACAAAGAAAACGAGGCATTATCTTAATGTACGGCTGTTGCGTAATGCATTAGGTAATTGGTTTAATTGCGTCTTAAGTTTACTTTCTAGCATTAGGGAAATCGGAGCAAGCTTCACTTATTTGATTGAGATGAGATGTGAATGTTTGTGAGGAAAGCAAGCAGGTGCACAAATAACATGTAACGAATGGGCAAATAATGATTGAATATTGAACGTAGGGTAGGTGTACCAGTTGTAAGTGCACCAGTTAGGGGCGTTTCAAATATAGCATGCACAAGTGTATCGATTTTTCACCCCCTCTCTGTATCACGCTTTTTCCATACCTATTACACTTACTGTCACTCAAATTCTAGAACCCCCTCCCCCCTTAGAAATGGACGTCATATCTGAATCACAACTATGCCATTATCCCATATACGCAATCAGTGTTGAAAAAATCTCAAAAAATCAAATCTCACCAATGCCCAAGATCACGCTTGATTTTCGTAGACAAAAATCAACAAGCAAACATTTGCGGTTTTGCAAGCTGTGATATCGCGGTTTTGCAAGCTATGATATCGCAGCTCGGAATATCAAGCTAACAAAACTCACCAACTGCAAATCTCACCAAACTGTGGTGAGATTGAGTTTAAAGATTTTCTTTACACCCGAATGAAACCGAAACTTCCATAATGGCTGGCAACAGTCCCTTCGTGTCTGCCATCGGTGAAGATTAAAAAGAGATAGCAAACTATACTTTCTCTTTCTAAGAAAACGATGTGGAACGGAATCATTTTTTGTGTGAGTCAGCTAGCAGCTTGATTTTTGCACGTTGTGAATAGTCTCGCAATATCAAAGGAGCTTGTAAAATAAATATCAAGCATGATATTTCGTTCCAGTATCACGCGTGATATTGAGAGCGCATGAGAGTGGAAAAATATTATTTGATTGATGATTTTGCCATCATTGTACGCAATGGTATCACTTCTCCATATAAACCCAAAGAACATAACAGGTTCAGTTTTTTAAGTTGTGTCATAACAGATACACCTACCCGATCTCTATAAGAATCAGCCCAGATATCTAGAAGTCGTATAACAATGTACATACAGTATCGTAAATTGCTACAGTTTAAGTCAACTCATCGCATAAGAATGACATATATCGCGTTAGTTTTTTTTTCTTTGATTTGTTTTCCGGGCTGAGCAACAATGCTACCAATGCCAGGGAGGCAGCACCTACACTTGGACCCTACCTATCGACCCATCAGCTCATGAACCGGGGACCAACGGCTTTACTTCCGTTCCGAAGGAAGGCGTGATCAGAGATGTTATGCCTCAGAACATCCCGGCGGTGTCGACTGGGATTGAACCCAGGCCTGCTGGGCACGCTTAACGCTACACCACCGGCGCCGCTGTACATCGCATTATGTTTAAGTTAAATCGTATAGAATGCAAATTTCCGACTTATGTATAAAGATTGTGCTCGAAAAAAAATGTAACACTTTCTTTTGTATGTAACTTTTTATTGCATGGGTAAAAATTGATGAAACTTTGAGTAAAATTAGTTTAGAGTGTAATGTTTACATGTGCAAAATCTCTTCACAATCTGTCAAGTGGCTATCGAGATGGCTTCCAAGCAAGAAGTGCTTCGACAAAAAATTAGGGAGCGGTCTTGGAAAATCCAGGCCAGTCCCACTGGTGGATCGCGAAACAGCTTGGAATCGACAATTTGACCGTGTCCCGTGTTGTAAAATTTATCAAGGAGACCCAGATGACTCAGCGACGAGCTGACAGTGGAAGAAAAACAAATTAGACCGACACCGTGAACACAAGGAACGTGAGGGATTACTTAAAGTGCAATCCGAACCTTTCGATTCGGGACGTGGCCAAGAAGGTCAATTCTTCCGTCTGGTTCGTCCAGCAGACAATGAAGCAGCATGTCTTCAAGGTAAGGAAGGCGCCCAACCGATCTGAATACGGTGGCCAAATCCCACGCTAGTAAGCTGTACCGCGAGTGGTTGGTGCAGCCGAAATGCATCGTAATGGACGACGAGACGTACATTAAAGTGGACGCCAAGCAGATCCCCGGCCTGGAGTTTTCCGTCGGTAAGTCCCGCCTAGATGTTCCGGAGAAGTTCCGGAAGAAGAAGGTTGACAAATTTGCCAAGAAGTTCATAGTGTGGCAGGCAATCTGTGGCTGCGGTAAATTCAAAAAGTCGTACATAATGACCGGCACCATCAACGGCCAAAACTTTTAAGAAGAATGCCTCCAGAAGCTCCTGCTGTCCTTCCTCCGGTCTCACGAAGGTGACACTCTGTTTTGGCCGGATCTGACATCGTGTCATTACGCAAAACCGGTGATGGAGTGGTACGAAGCCAACGATGTTGTTTTTGAGCCAAAGGAGGCAAATCCGCCAAACTCGCCAGAACTTCGCCCAATAGAAAAATTCTGGGCGATTATGAATATCTGGAAAACAGGGAAGGTCTTAAAAAACGAGGATTTGAAGAAAGAGTGGATGAAAGTGTGGAAGAAAGATGGTGCAAGTGTTGCACAGGATTTGACGGGTAGAGTTAAGTCCAAGGAGAGGAGGTTGAATAAACCAACTTTGCCAAACAATAGCTAATATGTGTTTATTTATTCCCTGAGAGTTTAAAAAATATCCGACTTAAAATGAATTATGGTGATTATTTTTAAGAGTTGCATTTTTTTTTTCGAGTAAAGTCTTTATACGATGATTAATTTTTCCATCATACTGTTTCACAAACTGAATCGTAAGCTTTTCTCATTGAATTTGTTATTGCAGATTAAATCGTAACTCGTTTAAGAAGAAATAACGACTATGCACGTATATGGCCTCCAATTTAGTACGTATAAGCCATTTTTTGCATTCTATACGATTTGTTTGTTTGTATATATGTTTGTATATCACAGAAACAACTTTGAATGTATGTGCATCAGTGCTGATAAAAATCATTCCTTCTACACTCAACATAGCTGAAAATGAAAACAACCTTAACAGATAGACCAACTATCGGCATGAATCTGAATTTTATAATTTTTATAATTTTCGTGGCTGGATGTTCATTATCGCCTCCGTTGTTGTCAATATTAATATTCGTCTTCATCTTGGTGGGGATGATTTTGAAGATCAAATGCAAAATGATTATTTTTCATTTTACTTAAATATAGCGCTGAAGGACGTGTCGTATTAGTTTTTACACACAAACCGTTGGAAAATTATTGCCTCAAGCTGAACTGATGATAAAATCCGGGTTTTAGGCTCTGGAGTCGTCGACAATATTCAAAATAATCATTTTGCCCAAAATGACTTTGATTATTTTGCTTTTGAGGATCATTTCTGGTTTTGACAATTTTGGGTTGGATAATCAAGCACTGGAGAATATCAACAAACGTGTACTCGTTGATGTATAATGAACTCATTTGTTCATTCCACTCGTACTTAGCAGCGAAGATTTTCAAAACAAACTAAATCTACACTGGGTTGAAGCGATACTCCTTGCATGTGATGGTAAATGATAAAAACAGACACTGATACGCATTCTGTCTGGGTGGAGCTTTTACCGTATAGAAAATCATAATATTGTCTTTCTCTTATACATAAACTTTAAGAAATTGTTCGGGACTTTGATTAAATAGCTCCAGAATAAAAAATTCGGTTTCAATACGAATTCCACTAGTTTTTGTTTTTACGTGATCTATTATTTTTAGATTTTGCCCTCATTTAGGATGAGTACAGAAATTCCAATTCCACCATATTTTTCTATGGTTTCTAAATGACTTTTTGAAACAAGTTGCACTAAATTCGATTGCAATTTGAGATAAAAAACAGAGAAAAAATAAAAAATAAATAAGAAACAGAAATATTTCTTAGATTTTATCTTCAATATTAAATATAATTTTTTTAAATACAGGTCGTGAAAAATGCAAACATTAGGAGTATTTAAAATTATGAACAATTGGAAATTGACAAAAATCGTGGAAATCAACTTTTGGTCAAATTTTTATTTTTCTCTACAACTTTGTCTCATCCATCTTGCGAACAGAAGTGACATTTTCGTGCTACAATGTATTTAAAAATAACAAAGACGCAATTTCGACCAAAAATACAAGATCCAAATTGGCCGAATTTTTGTAAAAAGTTAATTAATGGTCATAACACACAATTATGCAAAGTTTTATGCAAATTGAAGAATGTCGAGTTTGTCCGATTTGGCGATGAACTGCTCAAAACAGAAGTCGATTGAGCAGAATATCGTAGAACATTGGGCCATTGCTATTGATATCTTCATGTACACCAAGTGTCACAATCGAATTAATAGTGTGATAGGAATGATCATAAGAGTTACCCATGACATGTAACTGTTTCGCAATTTAAGGCACGTGCAAGGTTACGCGCATAATTTTTCATTTATTGAAAATTATATTTTTGTTTTCATTAAAAGTCAAATGTATAGCTTTAGCATCCACAAAAAGGGAAAGAAACACTAATTTGGCATGAATTCTGTACGTCATTCTTGCTGTAAAATGAACAAAATTTAAATTTAGATTTTCGCCGTGAGCGACCCAATTCAACTTTTTCGCAGCTACAACCTATTGGATGCCGATTGCTGATGCTGAATGGCAATGTGCAATGAGTATATTTAAAAGAATATTAAGAGTTTTAAAATCTTGAAATAGTAAAAAATATACTGCAACGATGCGTTTAAAAATGCACTGTCCGAAACCTTATAAGACGAACTACTAGGAGGGGTGAACAGTAAATTCCTTGTGAATGGAATATTTTTCTTAATTTTTATTTTATTTTATTCAATATA